TTAAAATCTTAAAAGATGGCACTGTTAAGGTGCTACACTCAATATGCCAGTGAGTTTAGAAAACTCAGCAGTGGCCAAAGGATTAGACAAGATCAGTCTACATCCCAGTCCCAAAGAAGGGTAGCGCCAAAGAATACACCAACTACCGTACAATTGCACTCATTTCACATGCTAGCAAGGTTATGCTCAAAATCCTACAAGGTAGGCTTCAGCAGTATGTGGACCGAGAACTCCCAGAAGTACAAGCTGGATTTCGAAGGGGCAGAGGAACTGGAGACCAAACTGCTAACATGCGCTGAATTATGGAGAAAGCCAGAGAGTTCCAGAAAAACATCTACTTCTGCTTCATTGACTACGCAAAAGCCTTTGACTGTGTTGACCACAACAAACTCGGGCATGTCATGATACTGGCTAATGGTTGGATTCCAAAATATCTCCTGTATAGAGAATTAGTGCAGGGAAATCGCCCCAGAGGGAGACCACAGTTGACATACAAGGATATCTGCAAGCAGGATCTGAAGGCTTTAGGAATGGACCTCAACAGATGGGAAAGCTTGACATCTGAGCATTCAGCCTGGAGGCAGGTGGTGGAGCATGGCCTCTCCCAATTTGAAAAGGCACTTATTCAGCACACCAAGGCTGTTGGTGCCATGCCTCAGCCATGCTGGGCCTAGAAGCAAGTTCTGCAAAGGCCAGAACACCAACTCCTGCAGAAATTTCAAGGAAAGGAGGGGCTTGGTGCAGAGTTTCATGAGGTCTATGGGTCTTGTTGTTCTGGAGCAAGCTCATTTAATGGAACCCAAGAACGTTTTTATTTAACAATAAAAAAAGAGAAAGTCATTGTGGCCCACTGAACAACAGCCATGTGAAAAGACGGCTGTGTTAACTCCATGGGTTCTGCACCCACAGGACAGGACAGCCCTTGCAGAGCCCCAGCTTAAGTGAAAGATGGGGAAAGGGGGGGTACATTCTGCCTTCTGCCTCCCCAACCTCCACCCCAATATTTTCCCCATCATGCTGCTGCTGTCCTTGGCTGCTTTTCTGCTACCTCCTTGCTTGAGAGCAAACCAGGTAAAATTCCACAGAAGTAAACCAGCAAGTTCAAGACCTGTGTGGACCTTTCTCGTGGGATAGTAAACATCTCGAGTGTGCACAGAAGGATCGCTCAAGTGAGACATAAAATAGATTGCACTGAAGATAAGAACTGTTAAAGCATGGACCAGACTGCTCCAAATTCCCCCTAAATTACTTTAAAAGACTGCTGGCTAGAAAGCAGAACACAGCTGTTAAACAAGAAAAAACAGCAATCAGAACCCAAGCTATTTATTTAATATACACACGTATTTTAGATTGTTCCCTTTATAAAAAAAAAGATATTTGCCTTATTAGGCTGATTAGTTTTTCTTGTGTCTGTATCTGCAATTTCATTTTGATTTTAACTGATTCTTTTTATCCATTTTATTAAGCTATTGTTTACTTATTCATGGATTCATTAGGAATCTTCATAATTTTTTATGGAAAGGAAAGAGTTAATGCAACAGTTAAATGAATAAAATAAAGGAAAGTGAGGAGTCATATTATAGAAATAATCAATTGCCAAATTGTAAGTTAAAATTTATATCCCACTTGATCTACTTCGCTTGGGACTTGCAATTGGATCAAGACCTCCGTATTTAAGAAACCTTTTCCCAGGCCACAGAAATATTAATTTTTGGCAAGGTAGCTCCCGAAATCTCCCAGTCATGCTGACTGAAGGATTCTAGGAGCTGTAGTTCACCAGGGCAACTTTTCCAAGCTCTGTCTGAAGTATATTTGAAGACATAATTCTAGGAAGAGGTCTTTTGAGCTTCACAATGACCTCACGTGAATGCATGTGTTACCTCCTCTCAGTCCCATTGCCACCACAAACACAGCTGATGGGGACACGGGAGACGGCCTTCTCTGTGGCAGCTCTCAGGCTATGGAACGCTCTCCCTTGGGAGATCAGGATGGCCCCTGCCCTGCTATCCTTCCGAAAAAAGCTAAAGACCCATCTCTTTAGGCAGGCTTTTAACAACTACAACTTAATCCCTGAACCTGATTTTAGCAGATAATTTTAATCTTTTCCATGTTTTAATGTTTTAATCTTTTAGCTTAATTTTAAATCATATATTGTTTAATTTGTCTTTTGATATTTAACTTACTGTATTTTTAATTGTGTGAATTTTAATGTTGTGAGCCACTTTGGGTCCCTTGTTGGGAGAAATGTGGCATATAAATAAAACTAAAACTAAAACTAATGCTAACAATAGTAATACTTCTAATACTACTAATACTAAAGAACAACAACGATGATGATGATGATAATGATAATAATAATGATAAAACTAAAACTACAACAACTACTACTACTAATACTACTACTAATACATAAAACTAAAACTAAAACTAATGCTAACAATAGTAATACTTCTAATACTACTAATACTAAACAACAACAACGATGATGATGATGATAATGATAATAATAATGATAAAACTAAAACTAAAACTACAACTACTACTACTACTAATACTACTACTAATACTAATAATAATACTGATGATGATGATGATGATAATAATTTTTTTTTCTAGGAACCTAGTTTGAAAATCTTTGGAACAGACCAATTACAGTTCTATATATGTTCTCTTTGGACCTTACACTCACCTTGGTGTCATCAGCAGTCTCTTCACCTGTGTCAGTTTCATCATAAAGATCTGATTCCTCAGAGGCTATTGGCACATGTATGGTCAAATTGGGATTGTTAATGAAGTTCATGTGGTCCAGTTCATCAATAAACGGCTCTTTTCTGGATAACCCATCCATGTATTCTGATTTGAAGACCTGGCCATCTTTTTTAGCTTTCCCATCCATATATTCTAGTTTAAGGTCCTGACTTGTGTCTATGTGGTTGAGAACAAAATTCTCTTTCTTGCTGTCATCCTGTTCCTCAGATGGTGGCTCAGTCTTCTGCTTCAATTCCCTGTGAAGCAGGAGGAGAACATGCTTCTTTACGTAATCAATCCCTCGTGTGATTCTGCCAATTGCAATTTGCAAATTGTTCATTTCGCCATCATCATCAGATGCTGCCAGGCTATCAGCACTGAAGGAGCTTAGCAGCAAAGCTAAGAACAGGTTAAGGACCTGGGAGACAAAAGCAGATGCCATTTCATACTTCAGAAAAATACTCTTAATAACTCTGAACGGCTGCACCCCAATCAGATCTTGTGACTACCATCCTCTAGGGATAGGCAGCCATGGATTAGATGTAAGTTCACAAAAAACACATTGGAAAGTATCACCCGATACAGAAATATTTTAAAAATGGTGTGACAGCTTATCATCAAGTCTACTGAAAAACAAAAAGGCACTAGGTGCTCCAAAGTAACCTAAATTTGGTTCCAAGAAAAAGTCTAACTGGTACCTATGAATCATGTAAAATAGAACATACTTGCCTGTTTTGCATAATTTATTGTGCTTCTGGAAATGTTACTTAGATCCTCCCCCTCTCAACCTTCTGAGATTTGTCGAGCTTTTTGCTGGAGCTAGGAATGCGATCTTTTTGTATATTTTAAATGCAAGCTGAAATTCTCAGGATCCTGGTGTTTACATTTAAATAACAAATGCTGCGGTTTATTTTATTTATTATAAAATATAATTCCCACCTGTCAGCCAACAATTATGTGGGAGGCAAACAGTAACTGAAACATACATAAAATTACTGAACAGAAAAATCACACACAGGAACATGGGAACCTATCTTACATTGAGTTGAGCCACTAGTCCATATAACCTGGTATTGTCAACTTTGGCTAATAGTAGATCTGCAGGGTTTTAGGCAGGACTATTTCCTAGTCCTAGCTGGAAATCCCACATGTTGCTCCCACAATTAAGTTCTGCCACTGAGCAAAGGGCTTGCCTCCCACTCTCTTATCCAAGTACCAATCAGGCCTGAACTTGCTTAGTTTCCAAAATCAGATTGGATTTCTTTTGTTTAGGGAGATATGGTAGTGAAACATTAGAATGAAGCAACTAACAAAGTAACAAAATGATTAGTCAGCCAAGTGCTTTCCTGTATAGGTCCTAGGCCGTGATCACATTAGAGAAATGTCTCCGTTCTTTCTCGCATCTTCTGCTTCCTGTATAGTTGTGCATTGTGGTCAGGTGGCACATATCCTGTGATAGTGGTTCATATGTTTCTTAACCATTCTTTTTTTAATAAATTAGATGCAGTACATTCATCTACACCCCTCAAGTGGGACATATCCCCTTACTTTTCTTGTGCCTTTCTCTGTTCCCCTCCCCCCCTTTTATAAAAATTATATGGGTATATTGCTCTGCAAAATGCCCTTGCTGGCCACATACTGATCTGGGCCATTTCTTCCTATTTCTGTGCTTCATTATCCTCTATGGAGGAGAACACACAGCAGTTGTGGTCAAAGGACAGTAGGGGAATTGATGCTCTATATTTTACACAATTATATCAGCGCACCAACAGTCCCATTTGAAAATTAACTCTAAAAAATTAAGGGAGTTGAATGACAGCTGGTGAGGGGGGGTGGGACCACATGTCAGATGCATAGGAAATGAATTGGTTTTGGAGTACACACACAATGAGATATTAGTTGTATTGTATGATGAAACGTGGAACAAATACAGCAGGGGTCTCCCAGCAGGCTGGATTTGATGCGGAGATAGCACAGAAGAGGAAAAAAAACAATCAATAATGGCTTTGCATTGTCTGTACCAAAAAAGAGGGTTAAAATTCTCAAGGATTGACATGGAATCATTTTGCTGTTGTGACCATAGCCTTAATCAGCTTCTTAATACAAATGTGCTACTTGTATAGAATAGATACAGATTTATCCTTAAGCTTTTCCTGAGCCACAGCCGATCCATTCCGCCTTATCATGGAAGTAACAACTACTGTGCTTTTGCTGTGTTCATAGAGAATAGTTGAGTGCAAACAGCAGCAGTGGCAAAAGATGATGCAACACACAGGCATACAAAAATATAGAGAGGAAACCCCCTGAAAACTCACTTCCGTGTCCAACAGGGCTACAAGCAAGGTTGTGGACTCGAGTTGCGGGACTCGCTGTCAAGTTGGACTTAAGTCACACTGGTGACTCAATTTGGACTTGACTTGGGTTTGGTTTGTCTGTCTTACTTAACAGAATGCATAAACAAATATTTAATTTGTTGTTATTTTCCTTTGCAGTTGGGGTTATTTTCTGTGATGTGGGGAGGGACGTCTGTGTGTTCTGAGGACAGTGCTTAATTCCTGAGGGAAATGCTAGGGCTCCAAAGTGTAAAGGTGCCAGAAGATCATGCCATTTGGTTTGGGAATTCTGTTGCTTACCGTGATCTAATGTGCAGGTGTATGGCTATTTACTGGGGGAGGGTGCTCTCCAGGTATACTGAAGGGTTCCTGAGTGAGCTCAATATTAGTACTTTAGGGTATAATTAGACTGCTGTAAAGCGCATGCCTGATTGCTCTGGAAATTGTCATTTAAAAGTGCAGATGTGTCCCTGGAGATCAAAGCAAAGATCATCCTTACTATGATGTTCCTAATTATTATGTATGGATGATCTGGTTACACTCTTTGGTAACGAGTTCACTGCTGGTTACCACTGATTTTACATAATGGATGTGGAGAAAGCTGCAGTTCTGTTTAGAAAACAAAGCAAAACACTTATTTCATTAAAGCAAGGCACACAGGGTCCCTGCATCTTGTTCTAGAGGAGAATTGCACTTCCAGGAGGGCAGTTCCCTTTGTGTGACTCTAATGGAGCATATTTTTACTATTGAAAACTGAAATTCAGTAGTAGTAGGCTTTAAAAATAGTCAGGGAGGCTGCATGTTGCCTGTCTCCGGTCTAGTACGATCTTTCTCAATCTGGCACCCTCCAGTTGTGTTGGACTAAAACTCCCAGGATCCCCCAGCTAACTAGGAGGCTGGTTAATTGGGAGATGTGGGTCAACAACACAGGAGATTGCCAGGTTGGGAAAGGCTGATCTAAGATAAGCAGTTTTGGAAGTAAACTGCTTTTACAGTGGGGTCTCTACTTAAGAACGTCTCTACTTAAGAACAATCCAACTTAAGAACAGCTCCATTTGCTAAATTTTGCTTCTACTTGAGAACAGAAATCCAAGATAAGAATAGGAAAAAAACCTTTCCTGCTTTTTTTTAACCTTAGGTCATCTTAGGTAAAAAAAAAATTCCCCCCCCCCTAGTGGTAGAGTACGTATTAACCAGCTTTGCATTAGTTCCTATGGGAACTAATGCTTCAATGTAAACTGCTTTTATGTCTTTTTGTTGCTAATAAATATGTTTTAAATAAATAAACTATTTCCTTTCTTCCCCCTCCCTTATCCCTGATATTAATAAAGCTTTAATAAGTCTGTAAGCAATTTGGAATATCTGGTTTAACTGTATGTTTGCAATGCCTTGAGCATTATTTTTCTCAATATATGAATGTTGGTTTATGTGTCATACTTTTGACTAAAGAGAGGCTACAGATACTTTGACTGGACTCATCCAGAGATGACTGAAAAATCAGGCAGGAGTTTCCCCCTCCCCTTACAAATTCACCCACTTCAACTTTAAAGTTAATGGGAGTGGCAGAAAAAAATGCTGCAGGCTGGTGTTTCTACAGTGTTTTCTTCAAAGTAGCCATTGCCAACACTGGCTTTCTGGTAGTTGGATATCAATGGGTGCTAGGATTAACAACCCAACATCAAGTGCTTGTAACGAGGGATGATGGTAAGTCTTTGGATCTGAGTTCCAAGTCTTTAGTACCAAATTCCAATTCCCAAGCCCTAAATCCAAGTCCCTATTAAAAACAAGCTTTTTCCCCAGAAAAAAAAGAGAGGAGGGGGTGGGTTCTGAGTTGCAAGTCAAGTCCAAGTCATTGGGGGGGAAATCTTATACAGTACGTAGTTGTTAAACACTGTGGGCTAAATATAGGCCAACTGCTAGTCCCAATTACAGTTGTAACCATTGACTCTTTTGCTGAATTATAAATGAATACAATTTACGTAATCCCAGTGGTTCGGTGGATCTTCTGTAAATTGGATTAACAACTGGATTTAGGTTTCTATATTTAGAAGTTCTTCCAGAACTTAGGTAAGTTATTTTCCTGGGGCTACAGTTGGCAGAACCCCCTGGCCATCAACGACAATGACTGAGAGATTCCGGAAATTGTTATCAGAAAAATAATTCACCCAAGCTCTAGGGAGATTCAACGTCAGAATTCCAGTTCAGCCCAAAACTAAATGGGAGTATTCCACACACCCCTCTCATTGTAGGCTCCAGTGGGACCACCGACATGCCATGTACAGTAACATCAGCAAGAAAGTGGAATGCGTTTGCTGTGAAAAGCCAGCCTCCTGCCCACTCACAGCTGTCAGTGTTTGTGCCTCTCCCCTGCCAGAGAGCACATTTGAGAAGGGACTCTGATAATACTCAAGGTCATAGCTATTTGCACATGGCTCATGCCTCATGACTTAACTAGGACCTTTATATAAACCCCCTCCAGTTTCCTTGATGCTTTCAGATGCTTCTCTTAAGTGCCCATTACAGTGAAAAGCTGTGGCTGCTGCTCATAACCCTAAAGATGGCTCAAGGCAGTGACTTCCTTTCTCTGCTCAGGGACTTCTTCCGTTCTTTTTCTCATAATAACTTACAACGGGAAATGCCAAAAGTGACACAAATAGAAAAAGAGTGACTCTGGGGATTCTGAAAATACATTGAGTGCTTCAGCCAACCTCAAAATTCTAAGAACGAGCAGTACTTGGGTCTGTATGGCAGATGCTCAAAGGAGACTGGGAGTGGCATGCACTGACTTAGAAACCATTTCCTCCAATCTGATCCCATGCTTAACTACAATGCTATTGATTCTACGGCTAGTTACTTGCTTGTTATTTCAGATATATGAGTGAAAACAGTGATCTTCCCTTTTCTCCTGTTCTTCTCTACAAAAACACATGGGATCTGCTCCTTAACTAAACAGAATGCTTGTGACATGGCCCTTAATCAGGGTGGCCTGCCAGTTGCTGTTATATTGCTCTTCCCAACAGCCCCAGATACTAATGGTTGATGTGAGTTGCAATTTATCAAAGTCTAGAGTTCTACAGGTTTGCCAGCCCTGACTTAGACACTTCCCATTGCTGTGTATGGTTTCATTGAATTGAAGGTGGACTTTTTACTTTCAGAAACAAAATGTTGCAGGATTCAAGTTTGCCTTGGTAAGCATGTCCTTATAATGTATTGTATTCAGTTAATTATGGCTTGGCAGTCATGTGAAAATACAGAACTTGAGAATGTTATTTCTTTAGATTACAACTTCCAGAACACACCACCGGCCATAGTGGCTGAAGGATTCTGGGGGTCCAAAGAAGTAACATTTCTAAGCTCTGAAAAGAAGCACTATATACGCACTCAGAGATTATTCCTTACATTTTAGCATCCCATCAATCTAGCTTTCATCCTCCAGGTCATCCCGTTCAATGACCGTGGACAGCTCCCCTGCTCATATCACTTTCCCAGTGGATTCCTGCAAGATTAAGGGGTCCTGGTCAAGCAGCCAAGGCCCCTTAAGAATGAATTGAACTTTTAAAGCACCTCAATTCACAGAGTGTGTGATTCCTGCAAGATGAGGATGGAATTGCAGTAAAGTGTTTTTTTTAAACTTCCATAAGGTAGTCCTACCCAAAACATATTAAACACATCAGTTTAAGGCAAAAGAGGAGGGAGAAAGGAGATTTAATCTTTCCCTTCTAACAGTTCATCTGCTGAAACTCACTTTCCTAGGTATTTTTTCCCTTTCTCATGGTAAGCATATAGGATTACATGCAGAAAGAAATACAGGACACCAAAGGAAGTTATTTTAACAGAAAATAAGAAAACTCATATGCACTGATGAAGATGCATCTGTGTATGTTGGGCAGCAGAACTGGTGGTCTACTTATTTTTGAAAATGAGAAAATCATTTTAGAAAATACATTTTTCTAATTTTGGGGAATATTTTTGGGGGGTTCTTTCCCAGAACCTCCTGTTCACATAGGAGTGAGCACTTTTGTCTCACCAACATAGTGGAGCATTCTGCACATTCTCAGAATATAACTAATTTGTAACTAATACGTTCCAAGGCTGAGCAATGGCATGTGTTTTCTTAACTTTACTTAACTAACTGGAATGCATTTTCTTAAATGTTCAGGGCTTCTCCTCCATACATTACATGCAGAAGACTCATAGACACAATGGTGCACCCCAATCTGGCTTTCCAGTAAGTGGATCTTTAGAAAACATGTTTTTCCAAATATATGTTCCTCAGGGCCAAACTAAACATCACGTTTAAGATCTAGCTAGAAGATACATTTTTTTTCTCTTACTGTAGTGTAACCTTCATTTTTTGCTGTGGTCTCAGTCTAAATCAAACTTGCCCCCGTCCCCCATGTCTCCAATTTCCTTCAACTCTCTGTTTCTTCAAGCCCTCATGCCACCCTGTTGGTTCAACGTATACTATATGTTCATAGTTTGGGGAGTTTGCATGAAGTGTCCATTTATAACTACTCTCTTGTCAAAGACTGCTTCACACATTGCAAAAAACCCCAGAACAGCTTTTTTAAAAATAAAGTTATGCTGGTTCATATAAAATAAAAATTAGCCTGCTATCAGTATATAGGTTAATATGGAGCTTGGATTTCTTTCTATGAATAGACCATAATTTACATTCAAGGAACAGGGATTTCCAGCTGCCATTACTGTTCCCTGTGTTTCTAGAAAATTTGCCATGTAAATTAGGAGATTCTTGTAGGGGCACCTGATGGAGTGGAGATTTGAAGGTAATTGTCAAGCTTCCTATGCATCTGCCACTGAATATAATGGGTCCATGCCTCTTTCTCTCCTCTCTCTTATAGAGATGTAAATCTTTGTTCATTGCGCTCTCTCAAATGAGAATAGTTTCACAATCCTTCCCACACACACACACACCAATGTTGGATGAGATTATGGCGGGTTTTGTGCATTTTTAAAAAATATTTGCCCAATTTTTTATGTGAAAACTTCTTTTTCATGGGGAAATAATTGTATTTTCTTCTGATAACCTTGCAATCTACGCAAGAAACTTTGTATTTTGTGCAAAGTACTGGGAGCTTTTAAACAGAGTCCCCCCCCAATGCAGCTGCTAAAGAATATGCTGCTCTTCCCACTCTTGTGCAGGAGTGAAACATCTCACAGCACTTAACCCGTTTTTATGGGGTGGCTCAATGTCCTGCCACACCCTGTTTGGGTAAGGATGTGAAAATCTGCTAAAATTCACTACGTACTTCCCTACTCATATATTCTCAGTAAAGATTCTCAGTCATCCAGGTGAGGTTATCTGGAAGTTGAGTCATGGCAACTGGATTGCTTCCTTGTTAAGTTGAAACATTTCACTACTCGTCCAGGTAGCTTCTTCAGTCTGAGGAGAGGACCTTAGTCATACTGTAACATGCTATATATCAATGGAATGATGACAGTATGCTTCATGTTTCTTTAACCACACAGGCAGCTGCCAGTGATGTGGAGCAGGGGAAAGAACAAAGCACAAAAGCAACAAAGGTGCGATCCACCATATTATCTGAAGAAGGACCTCTTCACGGAACCCATATGTCTGGAGTCTAAAATTTACCTAACCACACACAACAAAAGGATCTAGGTATGGAAGTCCAGCTTCATACAGCTGCTTGGCCATGAAGCTGGATATCACAGAGGAGGAAGAGGGCAGAAAAAGGAGGTTTAATTTGTGCCAGAGTTCAAAAGGGTTCAGCCCAGGAATCTGTTTTCATAAGCTCTATTTGCTTGGCACTGAGTGACCCTCAAAAAAATAAATTTGCTTTTAAACCAGAAGTGCTAGTTAGGATAAACTGGAACCACTGTGCCTTTTGGAAGATCATTTAGAGAGTTTGGGAAAAAAATATTTTTTATAAAATACAGCTCCCAGAATCCATCAACTTATGGCTGGATGTTCTGTGATTTGTAATCATAAAAGGTAACTTCACATACAGTTACATTGCTCTCTCAGTATGATCCCCTTGCTACTTACCACTAGGTTCCCGATGACCATGACCATCATGAAGACTATAAGACACAAGACCTGTCCAGCTACTTCCATGCAATCCCACATGGTCTCAATCCATTCCCCACAGAGGATGCGGAAGACGATAAGGAACGCGTGAAAGAAATCATGCATGTGCCAGCGTGGCAGGGCACAGTCACTGGAAATCTTGCAGACACATTCTATGTAGCTCTTCCCAAAGAGCTGCATGCCCACCACAGCAAAGATGAAAACAATGATGGCCAGCACCAAGGTGAGGTTGCCCAAGGCACCCACAGAGTTACCAATGATCTTGATCAGCATGTTGAGGGTTGGCCAGGATTTGGCAAGCTTGAAAACTCTCATCTGCGAAAAGAAAGAGGGAGACTCATCAATCTATCAGACTTTCTCCTTTTACTCTGAAGACTACAGGGCTCTGTGGGTTGCTATAATTATTCCATAAGTGGCCCATGACCTGGGCAGGAGAGCATCTACCCAAACATATGAGCTACTGCTTTTTTATCCCGAAATAACAAGCCTTTTCCTGCACTTTATAGGGTTTTCCAGACACAGCCCTTTGCTGTCTCTGTTGAGCATCTCAACAGAATATTAAATATCATCTGGCAAAGCTAGTTACTCTGCCAGTCCATACAGAATTACTTATAAGTACTGTATGTTTAACCTGGCTTTGCCAGCTTGCTGCCGTCAATATACATTGGCTGGTTTAGGCACAGCCTGATTCACAGTATCCTAAGCTTTTCTTGAAAACCATATGGATCATAAACTTGATGGTCTTTCAAAAAAAATACAGCTGAGATTCTTAGAAGACCAACTTTTAAAGGCACTACCGTATTAGAATAGGTCTAGCCTTGATTGCTCCTGTGGCATGTGTTTTTCCAAGCTTGGACTGTTGCTTTTAGAAAGAAATTCATTAATCTAATTTGAAGTTAAAAGAGTGATTTGTCCTGTTATGTTACTGATTACTAGTCAATTACATTTTGATTGAGTCTTCTAAAAATGCACATGAAAATATAATTACTGAAAAAAAATCCATCCAGAACAGTATTTTAGAGGCAATGGGTAACTGTTGATTAGTACGCAAAAAAGTAATAAAGTTACTGGCTGTGAGGTTACTTGTCTCTTCATTACTATTGAGTTACTTTCCAATGCATTGTTTTTTATAACATACATGAAAAAAAATTTCAACTGGTACACTATGCAGCAGCTAGACTGTCAAATGCTGCCTCTAGAGGGGGGGAACTAGCCATCACCTCCTTCAACTCAATGAGCCAGTCCATCTTGCTCACCCACAGCACCATAAAACCGAAAGATTGCAATCATCTGTTCCCAGTACTGAAACATCTGCATTGATTGCTTATTAGGCTCAATTCGAGGGGGAAATATCAACAGTTAAAGCCCTAAATGGCACAAGGTTTTGCAGTTTAAGGGACTGCCTATCCCATTTTGAACCTGTCCAGATGTTAAGATCGTCTGAAGAATACTAACAGTTACACAGACCCACCAAACAGGCATGCAGGAGAGAGCTTTCTCCTAAGTGGTGTTCAAATTGTGGGATGCACTTCCATAGTTGCAATTTCCACTCTTACTGTTCTTGAGTAGGTTGTAGATATATCATTATTTTAATAAATATTTTTAAAACTGATATATAATGCTTATTTTTCTGTATTGTTTTATCAATAAATTTTATTGATTTTAATGACTATTATGGTAGGGTTGATTTAATGTTATTTTACTTTAATTTTTGCTATCTCTGTTGAGTATCTCAGCAGAACTTCAAATCTTACCCGGCAAAGACAGTTACTCTGCCAGTTCATACAGAATTATTTATAAGCATTGTATGTCTTGCCCAGCTTGCCAGCCTAGTGCCTGACTTTATGGTTACATCTGTTTTATTGGTTTCTATTTTTTTATCAAGATTGTAAACTGCCTTGGGCTATATACGTAATAATTACATAAATAAAATAAAAAGCAACATTTTAGGAGTAGTATGCAAATGTTATCTGTTACTGCAATAAAGTAGTGAAGTTACCAGCTGTTAGGCCACTTTTTAAATTAATGATGCTAACCAATGTTGTTACTCAGGTAGTCAACATATTACACGTGATACATTACTTCCAGGCTCCACACTTTTCTGTGATTTGCAATGTATTTGCAGAAATGGCTCTGCTTAAAAGCAGACACTAAGCAGCTATAGTGGCACAAATTAAGAGGCGCAGGATGTGAAGTTGTTCAGGCATTTGTTTGTTCCCCACTTAAACTGAATGTACGTATGTTTCAAAATTCTCCACAGTGTTAAACAGGGCTTGGGACACCACCCCAATCTGAATAAGAAAGAGCAACCTGTTTCCATTCTGTCTGACAAGGGGAGAACCTTGATCTGTCCTGGTTGATAGCAGCTAGCTCAAAACCCTTGTTATGAGGGTGAACCGAACAAAGTCACCTACCAAACGGAAGGAACGTAGCACGGATAGACCTTGGACGTTGGCAAGGCCAAGCTCAACCAAGCTGAGGGTGACAATGATGCTGTCAAAAATATTCCATCCCACTTGGAAGTACTCATAAGGGTCTAAAGCAATCAGTTTCAGCACCATTTCAGCTGTGAATATTCCTGTGAAGACCTGCAAAGGTATAGTTACAGGTTATATAAACTTAGAGGTGTAACAGGGAAGGGAGGGGAAGAAAGAAGCAAACAATTTTTATGTCAGTTTTAAACAGTTCAGAAATACATTTTCCTATTATTTGTTTACAATATTCATCATTATGAACTCTGTTGGATTAGAGATTTTTAAAAAGCAGACATATTATTCTCTATGCAAAGGCTAACAATGAGAACACAAGGCTACATATATCACAGCTTGCTTGAGATACCTATGTATAAACTGAAACTTAATGAGATTCTATTACAACGATTGCACTGACCATCAGTTTAATGTTTTTTGGTATAATGGTTGTTACTGTTTGGTTGGAGATACCTTAATTTATCATAGTAGAGGGGGGATATGCACAGCATTAATTGTTACAATTACTATCTAGGGCATTATAACTCTACTGAGAGTTTGTTTCTTCTCTGTCTCTTTTTAGAAACTGCCACCTTTTCCCATTAGTGCTGCCATCTTTTCCTCTGTGCAGTACTCAAGGAGGCCTTTTCCCCCTCGAAAAGAAGAAATATATCCTCTGCTGCCTTATCTATAAGGGAATCCAACCACTCGAAAAACTGATAACATTTCAACAAGTCCCCAAAGATTTTGTAGGAAGTTTTTCTTGTCTATCCCCACTTCGTCCCCCTAAATCACTTAAGGCATTCCACATTGCAGAATAGCTCACTATCTGTATCATTTTTGGTGCTGTTTGGTTTACAGCATCCATCCCTGTTTTGACTTGAAATGATCCATTCCACTCCCTTTTTAGAGCTTTCTCATCCTTTTTGGCACTGTGATAGGGCTACAGGGTTTGGGGGCATGATTTGGAGCACTCCTAATTAGATCATTCTGCAGCCTATGTGGATGGCTAGTTCGCACCAAAATAGAGCTGTAGGTGATGTTATCTGAGATGACAACCCTGTGATGTATTTGGTTGGTTGTGGTATTGAAAGGGATGTTTAATTTATTTTCAAATTGTTGTTTCTTACATTGAGTCTTTGTTTCTGTTGTTTTTAAAATATCCTCCATTTTCACTGCCTCAAGTAATTTTTCTCTACCTATACTAATACTGTATAATCATTTAGGCTTCTTTTTTCCTCCTCTGCTATCTGCTGTATTTGCAGTAAACCACAGCCTTCGATCTTTCATGGTAAATGTCCATAACACTTTTTGGATGTAGTGTGTGATGCACGTTTTTTATTATTATTATTATTATTA